CTATAATCCCAGCTACTTTGGAGGCTGAGGCAAAAGAATCCTAAATTTGAGGCCAGCTTAAGCAACATAGGCAACACAGACAGACCCTGCCTTGAAATAAATTGATTTAATTAATTTTTAAAAACTAATGCCAATTTATACCGAACTCTTACAAAATATAGAAGGGGTGAGAACATGTCTTAACTCATTCCTCAAAATCAGCAGTGCACTAATACCAAAGCCAGATGAGAGACAAGAGAAGGGCAAACCAAGACCCCTAACAAATACACACACACACACACACATACACACACACACACACACACACACACACACACACACACGAGCCTCCAAACTAGCAAACTGAGTCCAGAGCCACATTAAAGGGACTATACATCATAACCATGTGTGATTTATCCCAGGAATGGAGATGGGGTCAACACACAAAGAATATAACATACTGCATAAGCGGACTGAAGGGAGGCAAAACAGCCATCTCCACGGATGGGGGTAGAAAAAACAAAACTCACAAAATTCAACACCCTTTGTGAATGGTAAAAACACTAAAAAGTCTAGGAATAAAAGGGAACTTCCTGGACATGGATAAATGGCATCGATTTAAAAAAAAAAAACTATAGATAACATTCTCACAGATGAAACTCTGAAAGCTTTCACCCTAAATCAGAAATCAGGAACAAGTCAAAGATACCAGTTTTTATCACCCCTATTCAACACTGTATTAAAAGTTCTATGCAGAATCATTCAGCAAGAAGAAGAAATGTAAAGCTTTCGTATGGAAAGAAAAACAGAAAACACTTGGGAGGTTGCTAGAAGTTCAGGGTAAAAGGAATGGGAGTTACTGCACAACGGGGTTTCCTTTTAGGGTGACTTAAGATGGTTGAACAATATTGTGAATGTACTACAAGCCACAGAATTGTACACTTTAAAATTGTAAAAATGGGAACCCTTATGTATAGTCCTATGCATTCTACCACAATAATAATAAGAAGAAGATCTATAAGAAGAAGATACAGGCAAAAGGAAAGAAGAATGGGAAAGAAAGGTTTTCCTAAGAACCCTTACCAAAATACAATTCACCAGGACAAATAAAGCTAGGATCAACATTTGAATAAAATTACTAAACTCAATGAAGCTAACAACTCTACAAAGACAAATTTAGCCACACCAAGAAGGCTCTAGAAAGAGGGCAAGACAAAACGACAGCTGAAATGTAGGTAGCAGTGCCCAACAAAACAAGAAGCGTCACACTATGTAAATGATTTTCTGTGGGAAATGGGAATGAGCGTTTAAATGTACTCCTTTCGTACTACAGAACTCAAAACGATCTAGCCCTATAAATTACCTGAAAGTAAAATTTGATTTAAAAGTAACCACGAGACAATACAATAGCAAAACAGTAACAAGAAAAACAAGTCATCTGAGAGTAGTGACACACCTGTAACCCCCAGGACTCAGGATTCTGAGGGAGAGAGTCACAGGTTTGGAGTCAGCTTCAGCAACTCAGGGGGACCCTGTTTCAAAAGTTTTAAGGCGGCGGGGGGCGGGGAGCTGGGAGCTCAGTGGTAGAGCAGTCCTGGGTTTAATCCCCAGTACCCACAAAAAAGAAAAACAGTTTACATAAATTTTGATATAGTCACTTCTACATTTATTTCTAATATATGAAAAATAATGACAAGAATCTTCATTTTTTAAAACTTTTATTTCTAGTGACCATCAATACAAGAAAGAGAGTTTTTAAAAAAAAAAAAAACTCATATAAAGTATGGAAAGGATAGTTCACACCAATCTAAAAGGGATGATACTTGCGAATGATTTGGCCACCCCTGTGACATGTGACATGTGGGTGCAGGAAAACCAAGCATTTAGTGCCACATGGAAGGGGATGCCCCGTGAAAACTTAAGATACTGAAGATACCACTTTCTGATTGTGATTTCATCCTCTCCACCTGGTTTAAAATATGCACCCAGACATTCACTCAACAGCCATTATGCAGCACCTACAAACTACTCAATGCTTGGCCCACCTTGCCACTGATGGATGACATTTCTTACTTTGGTTTAACAACATGGCGCTGGTCTCACCTACTTCATCTTTTCTACCTCTGCTTCTTTCTAGATTCTGATCTCAGTGTCTCTAAAGGTGTCTCTCCCTGAATAACAAGGAAAAACTACTACTCATAGTTAATAACTTGAAGACAACTTCTTTGCCCTCATTGTTTGATAATTTTATTTTGCCCTTTTTGACTTTGGCTTTGAAACTTTTCTGTAGCGCCTGAGACACATAAGGCCTTGCTGCTGTTAGTCACCCTTATAAGAACAATAAATGCTGAACATCTAGTATTTCTCTCATGCTACTACTGTCTCTTCCATATGGTGGATTTACTTGTGTTAAATTTGCTTGAGCAAAGAGTGCCGTGAATTTCTTTTGATTGATCTTCTACAGGGCACATCTGTTACAATAGGAAGAGCCGGGTTTAATAAACTGCAGTCATTCGAAAGGACTTACTGGTTGCATCACTTCTATTAACAGTTTTACTCCGTTTTATTACTTACAGTAAAGATGTCTTCATGGCCATCCTGAAATCGGGTCCCATCTGTTCCATAAAGATATATAGGGGCTGAACTTCTATGTTGTCCATATAATACAATATAAATCTGTGAGCTGGTCCCTGCATTTGGCAAGTCGCTGGTGATTATGGAAACTTTCCAGTTACCACCTGCAGAAGTACAAATAATATCCAACACTGTGTCAACTTACAGAAATGAAAGACTCTGAAGGACAGGTCGTCATGAAGCTAGTAGATGATAGGACAGATAGAGGTCAGTTCCTTGAGAAAAGTGCCACAACAGAGAACTTAAGACTTGGCTTTTAAAATACCCAATAAGATTCCTATATCTGACAATGTGACTGTGAAAATATCCTGTCATCGTTGGTCACGCCTGGACTCAAAGAGTCATTATAGAACTTCTCTGAAGCTCCCAACCTTTTGCCAAAATGTATCCAATATTCTTAGCTCTAACATGTAATATATGCATTCTGCATTATGCTTTCAAAGGTTTATGAGTTTAGACACTTTCCTAAAATATAACTTACATAAGAATATAGATTAGAATCAATAAGGTAAGGATTTGAGGAATCATCAGGCACAATTTCATTTATTATTTTAAGCTTCCTTAATTAACAGATAAAGTAACTGAGTTTCATAAACATTAAGTAAATTTTGTATCATTCAGCAACAAATAAAAACAGTGCTAGAAATTATATGGTTCATTGTGAGTATAAATGAGATTGATTAGACATTACAACACATTAGTAGTGGTATGGTATAACTTCCTAAGGTTTCAACTTAATTTTGTGAGATTTGTTTAGGGTAAACATCAGAAAGTTGATGTAAGACAAGTGAAAAATGAGAATTAGGGCACACACTCAAGACTACATAAAAGAAGTAAGAATACAGGGTAATAAAATTCAGAACTAGGGACTTAACCAACATTCTACTCATTCAACTTTGATTTCCTCTCTACCAAATTTGAAGCAATATATATTTCCCATTTTATCACTAAAATAAGTAATAAAGTTCTAAGTTCAAATTTTACATATATGATATAACAAGTATATGTGAAATTAGTGTATGTTTGTAAAAATCTACTTTAAAACAGAAAATTGTACTTTATTTGTCCCACACAGGATAAAAAGCCACGATAGGCTACCATCTTTCAGTAAATAAAAACATAATTTTTACAAATGAATAGAAGTTGAAATCCTATCTTTAACAGCAGCAGAAGCAGATAAATCACAATTATAAATTTGGAGATGGGAGAATTCTAGTTGTGTTCTGCAGAACACTTGGTATGCTAGTGTTTGTCTGAATAAATGAAATAAAGCTTTTCAACTTCTGCTCTCTTAAAAATGAGGCAAAGGAGGTTAGGGGAGAATCGATACTTGCTAAATGTGCAAGGACCAAATCGATAGTGAGAGAAATTGCATTTTCCAGCAACCAAGATGGAAAAAGAAGAAAAGTGTAGGAGTAGAAATAAAGATTAAAATAATGAAATCCATCGTTGGTTTACTATAGGTTCTGCACCTCCTTAAATCATTAAAACCTTAGCCTTGCAAGGGAATACTACAAGAAAGTATACCAACCAAGATTCACCTTTTAGTTTATCACTTACACTTTGATCAACCAAAAGGCAGCAAGTCACTCAGTCATAACTAGGTATCCAGTGTCGGGGTGGAGAAGAGGAGGTAGGGGGAGTATGGATAAAAAAACACAAGGTGATGTCTTTGTCCTCCATTAGCTGTAACTATGTGCAGTAGTTGTCAACATACCAAAAAGAAAAAATAAATTACTCTCAATAGAAGATTTTGATGAGGTGAGGCCCAATCACAGAAAAACTAACAAAATAAATAAGAAAAATTAAAACAAATGCAGTGATAACAACAAAGAAGCCCTTCCCCCCAAGAAATAAAAACCCATGTTAGTATAAACAAAGAATGTACAAAATTTTGCACCATAATCTTGTTAAATAGAAGCAAAGAAGTGAGTGACACAGATTTCAAGAATTTGTAGTGTAAGGAGCCCAGATTTCTCAGAAATATTATGGGAGAAAGAAGACAAAAATTCTAAAAATCTTCTTACTATTAATCTCCCTTTTAGACCCTAATTTGAAAAAGAGTACATTGAAGGGTAAATGAATTAGAGAATACAGAGTGTGGTAGTGGGCAATTTGCTTAAATGTGCAAGGACCAAATCGATAGTGAGAGAAATTGCATTTTACACTGAAATTACCATAGCAAATACAAAATAGATTGAAAATCTAAATCCTCTTATATCTTCTAAAAATAATAATAAACTTATAGTTTGAATTATTTTTCACTAAGCATTTCAGGGGAAGACTTCACTAGTAAGTTTGCTCTCAAAGCTTTTAAAAAATAATATCAATCCAACGCAACCCCTTTGGAATAGTTCCCAACTCATTGTATGAGAAAAGCATTAACCTGATACCAAAACCAGAAAAAGACATCCTCAGAAAACTACAAGGCCATCCCCCTCGTGAACATAAATAAAAAAATTCTCAACAAAAACGTTAAGAAATTGTTTTAGTCAGCTTTTTTTTTTGCCGCTGTAACCAAAGACCTGACCAGAACAATTTTAGAGGAGGAAAAGTTTATTGGGGGGCTCCCAGTTTCAGAGGTCTCAGTTCATAGACAGCAGGCTCCATTTCTTGGAGCTCAAGGAGAGGCAGAACATCATGGTGGGAGAATGTGGTGGAGGAAATCAGCTGGGAACATATAACTTAGTGTTATCCAACAAAATGTTGTTCCTTAATGTTTAATCTTAAGCAGGAGGCAATGATAAGAAAAAAAGTTGAGAAATTAAATAAGCTACTTAAAAGTTACACAGCAAGACTATTATCAGCCTTATAAATTTCAAAAAAAAAACAATGTAATGGTAAATATCAGCATCCTCCAAATGCTTATGGGTTAGACAATGCAAATATTATCAGAGTTGAATGATTGGGTTATAAGAGCCTTAACCCAATCAGTGGATTAATCCTCTGATATGGATTAATTGGGTGGTAACTCTAGGCAAGTAAGGTGTAGTTAGAGGAGGTAGGTCACTGGAGGTGTGTCTTTGGGTTTCATATTTTGTTCCTGGTGAGCAAAGCTCTCTGTCTACTTCCTGGGGTCCATGTTCTAAGATGCTTTCATCTACCATGACATTTGGCCATGATTATCTGCCTCATCTTGTGCCAAAAGCAAAATGAGTCTATAATCTGTGAAATGAGACATTTTAAATCATGATCCAAATAAACTTTTTTTCTCCTTTAATTGTTCTTGTCGGGTCTTTTGGACACAGCAATGAAAAAGCTGGCTAAAGCATAATTATACAAATGAAAATTAATCTCCTGGAATACAATGTTAGAGAAAAAGGGCATGTGCCTATCTATACACCTGAATGATTGCAATTCACAAGCCCAGTAATAAAAATAGATAGATAGATAGATAGATAGATAGATAGATAGATAGATAGATAGATAGATAAGAAACAGGAGAGAAAGGGAATCAGCCTTTAAGACATAGATCTGTAGCCACTGTATTACAATGTTGTCGGTAAGGAAGCTTATATTGGTGAGCATTAGCCAAATATGAATCCCAAATACTTGGGGTTAATCCACTGGAAATAAAACCATATATAAGGCAATAAGTAAAGACTGTTTAATCTTAGCTATTGTTGTTTGAAGATTGATTGAGGTGGCAATAAAATAAATAACTGCTGAGTAGTTCAAGATGTAGAACTAATGGAAGATATTTCTCTTACATTGTCAAAAAAAAAAAAAGGTTTCTTTTCTGTTCCTTGCCTC